ACTAAAATAGCTTTGATATTTCTTGTTGGATGTCTACATCACACCCCAGCCTTCTCCGTACACCATTAAAGAATTTGAATTAGTCTATTTGTACACACTGATAGACTTTACTAACTTTCCACTTCAAGTTAGTTTCAAAACCAGAAAACAAATTAAGAATACTCACTCTATTATCTATTTGGAAATGACAAATGTGTTTGTAGCCCTCTTCATTGCTGATGATCTTGTAGAAACTATTACCATCAGAGGTAAAATGAGGTTCTGCAGGCCTAAACTAAAAAATAAGAACAAAGAAACATGGAAGCACTAATCTCATCTGTCTCGTCTCAGTACCAACTATAATTTTAGAACATTCTCCCCAATACGTATGCTCAAAAAAGCCATGTTTTATTTGCCAAATAAAACTGGAGGGTCTTGAGATTTTTCCTTCAATAAAATGTGGACAAAAAAACCCAAAACAGAACAAAAACTCAAGGGCAGTTTTTGGTGAGGAGTACATGACAGTGGTGAGGAGTACATGACAGTAGACACAAAATCAGTTGCATGGGCCACTTGATAACCAGAAAAGGTTACCATTATTTGGAGGCATTCTCTCTCCATAGGGCATAACTGACTTCTGACTCTAAGTGTATAAAACATAGAATTTATCTTTGTTTCAAGAAATATATTTCCTTGATGTCACAAATGTGCTTTCTTAAAACACACATATTATTATTTGTCTGTTTTAGGTTGGAGGTGGTTTGTAGTTTGGGGAGTTTTTTTCCTGTTTTACACATACTTGTTTTTGAAAGTAAAGCTTAGCTGTTAACCATTTCTGGACTACATACCATAAGAAATGTCTGATGTATATTTTACATGGGAACATTCTTGAAGTCGTTTGTATTATAAGCTTGTTTCATTTTGTTAAAGATAATCACCAATTTACCAAAAAAGATTGTATAGAAATATAGAACAAAAGTTTCAATGTTTTACAGTTCAATAAAAGATAATGCAGAGAATATAATGCGGTTTAAGTAGAAGAGCATCTATCCCAGCCTGAAAGGAATATGTCGTTTTACGATTTCTATTTCCTAGCTACATTTGAAAGCAGGTAGGAGATGGTCTTTTAAAATTGTTGGTTTACTGCACTCTTGATGTTTCCTCTCTCATCAGCTCCCATTTTGGGAAGGAAGAAAAATACTTCCCTCATCTATTTAGTAATTCAAAATGAATTCATTTATGGAGCAAGCTGAGGCATGCAGTATACTTGGTGTTCTCATTACAGAGCTCTGAAGCACATTCCCCTCTCTAGACCTGTGTTCACAGCCTTATCTTTTTAATACATTTCCCTGTTTCCCCTGGATGGAGTTGTGCCTAGTAGAAATGTGTGAAAAGTGGCATCTGTCTGGTTAAATACAGAGAGGAAAAAACATATTTTTTTCGAAGAGTCGTGAGGAAGTGTAGCATGTCTCTTGCCATGGAGGAAACCACTTTTCATGTTGGCAAACCTCTCCCCTCTGCCCAATGAATGCCTGAAGAAAAGGACTTGAGAATGCTGCTGGAGCTCTGAGCCCACCTGCTGGATTAAGGCCTTACCTCTATGAACCAAGACGTGAAATCTACATATTTTGTGTCACTGTGTTTCCCTTTTTACTAGGATTAACAGAAATCGTCTTAAAATTAGGTGCAATTCATTCCTCATCTTGCGTGCTAGATGTCATGCTTGCTGGAGTTCCTTCACCTAGGTACTCCCATCCATGGTATTGCAGCAGTGTGACTGCTAATTCTGTGTACCATGAACAAGTAATGCAGTGGGACTGAGGAGTGCAAGGGGCCTCTCAGGGTCACCTTGCTTTCCTAGTGAAAGCTCTGCAGCTGGATGCCTAACAAAGTATGAACTCACATAAGCATGATTTTCTCCAAAGAGAGGTGTGTAGTGGGCATTCTATGGTTGGTACGGAATTTCTGCTGGATCTCCTTAGGCATTTGTCCAGCCTGGGTTGGAAACTGTATTTTCTGTTTTTAAAGCACATAACTTCAAATGTGAGGTCAACAAACACATTTGGCATTGTGGCTGCCTTTTAGCAATGGTTGCTTTTTAACTTCCTGGGAGCTACAATTTGCCTAGAGTATGTGTTTTGTTTTGTTTGCTTTGCTCCTGATTTTTAACTTACCTTCTTACTTTTTCCAACTGAATACATTACATACTCTTCATAAAAAGATATCTCTACAGAGAGCATTTCCAATATTTGAGAAATGGGTCAATAAGGATCTCTGTCAATGAGAAATAACCCAGAACCCTAGTGTAGAATCTCTACACACCATAGCTCTGACTAGCTGACTCATAGTATGTGAAGCCCCATAACCCATAACACTTACTCTTCCAACCCAGCCAGTCGTGCTCATCTCAGTGTGCTCATGTGCCTAGGAAGAGAAAATCCCAATGACAACATTTCCAAGAGAAAGATGATGAAATACACTCTTTAGCCACAATGTGGGAATATGAACAAACTTATACTTATTGAAGTTATTGAAAATTATCTCACTCACACACTTCTATCTATGCTAGTATTTTTTGTGTGCTTACATTAGATCATTTACTGAAGAGTTTCCTTCTCTTTCTTCCACCCCAGCAGCCCATTTTTAAACTTCTGTTCTTCCTGTCCACCCAAGCCAGACTTTCCCGATCGGGAGTCTTTCCAGATTCTTGCTCTTCTCACAGTCATCTCCCTTGTCCCCTTTTTTGATTTCAGTTCCATCTCTGCCATCACTGTCTTCATCCATGTCCTTGGCAGGTTTCCCTGGTCCACTGACACAATCTCCCCAATGGAGAGATTGCTCATCTTTTCTCTTTCTGGTCCACTATCTATCTGCCCTGCACAGCCCTGAGCTGACCTCATTTGGCAACCTATCTAGTCTCACAAAGACATTCTCCCATCTAAAACCTTGAATCAGCTCCCCATTTCTTACAAGGTAAGATCAAACTCAGGCTGGCACCTGAGCTTATATCGCTAGCCTTTATTTTTAGCTCTGTTCCTTTCCTCTGGCCCTCAGAACAAGTACCACAATTTCTGCATGCTCTAAGGTTCTCATACTGGTTGCTTCAGCATAGTACTCCACTTGCATGGGCCTTTTGCCCTTATCTGCCCATATAGGACATGTTATCCTAGACTCCTCTATATCTCTACCATGTCTCCTCTTTGCATTGCTCTGCCTTCCCTCTCCCTCCAGTGTAGCTGGGCATCTTCTTTTGTCTTACATCTTCTTTTTACCTTGCTTATGCTTTTTTTAATGGCACAATATCATGGTATTTAAGTGACCTAATCAGTGCCAGGCAAGAAGCATATGTTTTGCAGTTTAAATTCTGGCAGTGTCTTGTGACCTGATGAAGCTCCTTAAACTTACAGTCACCACAGTCCCTGTTATATTGCAAGCACTCAATAAATGGTAAATCTCATGATTTATGTTCATAATGGGATTCTTTACCAGAACAGAAGCATTTTGGGGACAAGCAGGCTAATTCATTTTTTAAAATATCCATAGATTAGTACAGAACTTGGAACATTACAGGGACTCAATGTTTCTTGCATAAATAAGTAAGTGAATCAAGATATGCAGTGCTCAAGCTGCCTAAGATTTGAGTCTGCCCTGTACTCAATCAGGATGGGAGCAGGGAGGGAGGTGTGTAGACACAGGGCCGTGGCCAGAACAGGAGGCTTTAGAGGGTCCTTGGCATATTTTAGTCCCTGCCCTTCCTGAGACTGCTGGCTCTCAGAGGGGCTTAACTGTGATCTATCAGCCCAGCTAGCCCCCAATGGTCTTCTAGCTGGAAACCTCCCAGTGCTTCAAGGTTGGCTTAATACTGAGTTTGCCTGAGTGTTGCCACCCTCTTGTCTGGTAGTTATTTATTTAAGTTCTGAAGCTGTTTTCTGCTAAAAGATAATAATACTATGAGAATGAATCTGTGGCCTCTTGATACTATTTTGTTTTACATACACTTAGCCAGTCATTCTCTATACGCTATATCTCCTGGGTTAAAACACCTTTATTGAGCTTGCAGCCTCTGGCCCTGTTTACATTTTTGAATACTGACATCAGCACAGTCCATCAGATTCTGTTATGGCTTGTGTCTAGATGTCCTCCCAAAGCCACATGGGTCATAAGTGGGGCTTTTCAGAGGTGGCTAAATCTAGGGTGTGTGATGCTAGGATTAAGGGTGTGTGATTACTAAATTACTCCACTGATCTGTTTGGCATAGTTCTGGGTATGGACAATGGGAAGGCCCACCCTGGGTGTGGTTGGCACCACCCAAAGGATGGATAGCCTAGAAGGGATAAAAGGGAGAGGCAAGCTGCTGCTGCTTCTTTGCTACTTCACTGCTTTGTGGCCTTATGCATGCCATGAACTGTTTCTCTTCTGTGATGTCCCTCTCCCATGCCAATTTGCTCTGGAGCCAGTCAACTATGAACTGAAACCTCTACAAACTGTGAGTTGCAATAAACCTTTCCTCCTTTAACTTTGGGTGTCCGGTAGTTTGTCTCAGCAATAAGAGAAGTAACTGAGACAGATTCCATCTTCTGATTTTTCAGTCACCTTTTTCTCCTTCCCAAGTGACTACACTACAAATAAAACAGTATGAGTAGTGCATGAAGATGAACTTATCTTATATTTATGTCAGACTAATCCATTGCCTCAGTGCTGGATGGTAAGAGAGAAGAGAGTCAAACTTCATTTACTAATTGCCAACCTTCACTCTCCCTGAGTTCACAGAGCCCTCCAATTACATGTGATTTTCGAAGCAGAGGCCCTAGATCTATCCTTACCAGTGAACAATTCCATCCTAGGTTGGACTTGTCATAGTCACAGATATCCATGACAGAATAGTTCTGAATCCTCCTAAGCCACTGCAAAGCAATCCGTTCTTGTGTAGCCCATGTCACCCCACACAAGTAGTGATCCCTGGAAGAAAGTTTGGGAGAGGAAAAGAGAGAAACACAGAAAGTGAGAGAGAATGAATTTGTTCAAAGCCTTGGTACAAATAAATATTTTACTTCATAAAAAAATTGATCCTAATGAGTAGTCAAGTTTTAAATGGTTAAGAATATGATTTAATACCATAATATTTTAACTTTCCTCAGGCTTAAAGTGCAATTTAATTTTGAATGGAAATTAAATAGATGCAACAAGAAAAATAGTAGCAACATTTGACAGTGGCTTCACATATGTGACTGGAACCAGATGCTGAGGATTTAACAGGTCCTAAACTTGACTTGTGGTGGTACCTGGAAGTCAAGGATGATACTTTCGTGTCTCCTCTCTGTTGTCTTGAAGAAACAATACAATGAGGTCAGGGACACTGGCTGAGATTTGAGTATTTGCTGGTAATTGGATGTGTGTCTCCAGGAAATTCTGATTAGGATGAAACTACAGCTGACCCTTTTCTCAACTTCACTTTTAAACAAGGGAAAAAAAATTGACTCACAACTCCACAAATTTTGAAAATCAAAGAATTGTACCCTTAAAAAAACATTTCTAAAGAGAAAAAATATGAACTCTGTGAAGAAATCAAGGAACCCTATGGTATTTTAACATAAATTTATGTAACAAGAGATAATTTTCACAGTGCATCCTCCCCAACACATACCTTCAAACATTTTTGGAACCATTTCGGATTTTTAGTGAAATGCATGGAATTTATAGTACTCTTCTCCTAGTCTTCTTAACATTATTTTTTCTGCATAATTTTTATTTTACTTTTTTGCTTCTCTCTAGTGTAAGTTTGGATGACTATTCACCAATCACTTCTCTCTGGTGTCTGATCAAAGCCTTTTGCCCTTTTTTCAGAAGGTTCAGAACCAATTTTCTCATTCTCCTTTTCAGATTGTCCCATGGTTATATCTCCCATCACCTTGAACACTCTAAGATGCGCCACTTGCTCTCCTCCCCAGGGAGTGCTGTCCCCTCCTCTGGTGATCTTGCTTGACTGTCAGCTCTTTGAGGCAGCCAGCACCCACATCTTCCTTGTTCACAGGGAATCCCCAGAGCTGTACACAGTGCCTGGCTCCAAACAGACACTCATGACATTCCTGGGGAATGCAGCTCTCAAGAAACGAAAAAATCCTCTCGTGACTTTTATGGAGGAAATAGCTCTGGCCTTCTTCAGAACTCACACATCCCTTCCATTTCCACTCCCCTCACAGGCACTAAATCATGCAACAAATGTGTATTGAGCATTCAGGATAAAGCACTTTAGGCCACTCACAGCTTCACTATTCTTTTTTTTTTATGGCTGGATACTTAAAGTGTTAATGTAGCTATGACCCTTGGCCTCCATGCTGTTCCTGCTGCAGGTCCTACAAAACCAACCCCTTTACACAGCCTTGGAGCACTACACTCTACACAGAGGGATTCCCTTCCATGCCAACCCTCTTCTTACTTGTTACCAAGAACCTTTGTGTTCCCTCTCCTGGGTGCCTGTGCTCTCAAGAACACGCCATGTCTCCCAGCCATCCCTTCCTTAATTAAACTTGTCCTTGAGTCTGAAATGCCTGCCATGCCCTAACTTCTTTGGGTCACAGCTGAACTGCACCCTTTCCCATGAAGTTTTTTCTTGGAAATTCCCTGCTGCTGCACCGCTATCACCAGCTTTCAGGCACTTATCACAAACTGCCAGGCTGCAGCTCTGAGAATGCTTTGCATGTCATGTTGGGTAAGAAAGGTGTCTCCTCTAATTCTTTAGCATTTGGTCAAAGCAAGGAGCCAAAGGAGAAGAGGAAAGGCAAGTAAGTCTTACCCAGGACACATAATAAATCAGAGAGTGAAAGAATGAAAAGATGGAAAAGGAAGCTTTTCAAAAGGGATTTTCTAGACCAGGGGTTGGGAAACTTTTTTCAGTTAAGGATTGGACAGTAAATATTTTAATCTTTGTGATCTACATGGTTTCAGTCACAGTCACTCTGCCTTTGCAGCACGGAAGCAGCAGACAATACTTAAACAAATGACAGTGGCTATGTTCCAAAAAACCTGGAATTTAAATATGTAATTTTCACATCATGAAACATATTCTTTTGATTTTTTTCCTAACTATTAAAAAAAGTAAAGCCACTCTTATGTGTGGATGATGCAAATATGGGCAGCAGAACAGATTTGGTCCATGGGCCCTGGTGGAGCAACCTTGGTTCTACATGAGACATTCTTAAAATTTTTTGAACAATTTATAAAAAGTATGTGCCTCTGTCTAGGGTGGGGAAAACCCCTCTACTCAGATGCACAAAATGTCTGGAACCTTCTAAAGGGTTCCATAGGCATGGGTTAGGAAACCAGGATCCAGAAATACCCTTTCTCTTTTTTAAAGAGTTCTGATGGTGGAAGGGGGAGCCAAAATAATTCTTTTTCTTTTCTTTTCTTTTCTTTTTTTTTTGGTATGGGGAACTTGGGACCTTTCACTTGCAAGGCAGGCTGTGGAACCACTGAGCTAAATCCCTGGCCCAAAATATTTCTTTTTCATGATTAATGCTGGTGCTAAGTAGCTTTATCTGTTAAAGCCATAAATTACTCAGGTTCAGAAGTCAGTACTGTAAAGCAACTTTTTCCTAATTGAAAACATTCAGTAATGGAATGCAGGAAGTTAGCCAGGAAGCTCATGTGTATCAGCCCCTTCTCTGCCTATTTCTAGATAAAGTTTAATGAACCTGGATCCTCTACTACCTTTGTCATTTCCATGGCCCAAAGTGTACTCTGTACCTTGGTGCTCAGCAAAGGCAGGTCACTAGTCGAGCAGACAGTTCTTTTTAAATTTTTAAAGTAAACATACTTCTCTTCCATTGCAGCCCTGAGATCATGCCAGGCTAAGATGTCAGGGTCATGAAAGAGATATAAACAAATGGTTCAACTGAACGTTTTACTGAAAGGTACTGCATTAGTCCAGAAACATCCAACAAGCAGGATTGCTTGATATCTGCTGATTTTATTCTTCAAAGAGAGAGGCAAATACTGAGTAGACTTTCTCTCTGTAATGGTTGAGGGATGGTAAGAAATGAGCCGCACCTGCAGTTAGGCCTTCCGCTGAGCCCACGGTATTGAATTAATTCTATGTTAGGTGGAATAACTCCACAAGCTTTGCTAACCTTGGGACCTGTAAAGTCCAAGGGGAATATAGCTGATATTAATACTAACACAACAGAGTAATTTCTGAACATAATAATGAGAGTGTGTGCCCATGTGTTGTCTGCCAGGAACTGTTCTAAGAACCCGACATAAAGCTCAAGACCACCTGTGAAGTAGGTACTCTTGTTGTTTTGTTTTGCAGATGAGGAAACTGAAGTGCAGAGAGGACAGTAACTGGGCCAGGATCACTCAACTGGAAAGTATCCTAGTAAGAGTTCAAATCCAGAAATTGGCTTCAGATCACCTGTTCACACTCACACCCACTGAAGAACCGCTGCTTATCCATCCCTTTGGGAAACATTACTAGTTAGCTTTATCTTCCTGCTTCTTTTTAGCACAACATTTCTCACTCAGTGAAATCTACTTATTCCTAGAGAGTTGTATGTAAACTAAATTTCATAAGGCAAATAATATTTGAATGCATTGAGAGAAACTTCATTTTGAATATCACACTATAGGAAATCTACTTATAAAATGACTGACGGTCCTAGGACAATGTCTTGCAAAGAGGAGGCATTTAATAGAAGTCTTTTGGGTGATATTCATCCTTTTATTTGTGTAAATGTTTCTTTTGGTACATTAAGGATGCTTAAAATAAGATATGCATTACTAACTGGAAAGACTATTGGAGGGAAAATGCTACTAAGAGCAACTGCAGACTGTGGATTGATTAATTTAGTGAATCACCAGAGGAAGCAGGCGTACTGCCAGTGCTGGCCTCGGGCTCCATGCCACCCTCGGCTTTGATAAGGATGCCAACTCTCCTAGGTTGCTGACAGATCCAAGAGAAGAGAAATGGGCGGGGCAAGATGGAGCAGATCAGAGGATGCAGCATGCATCAGTAGCAAGCCCTGATCTGCCTCCTTTCTTGCAGATGTGGCTAGTTTCCAAGGAATATCTGTCTGGTTTATTTATCTTTTGTGTGACAATCTCAGCCTTTGATGACCCTGCTTTATAGACCAAAGGTCATTCACTGTTTAGAGGAGCTAGAACAAGTCTTTATCTAATGTGTTCCGTAAAAGCAGAGAGAACAGGGGTGGGGTACATCATGAGCTGGATGTGATGGGGCCCCAGAGCAACTCAGCAGATGTTGGGTGGGGTCACATCAGTGGAGCACACCACCCTCTCCAGTCCTCTATTTCCAGGGCACAATGTTTGCAGCTGGATAGGACAGGGAGGAGCAGGAAAAGAAGATTGCCCTGCAAGGTCGCTGTGAAGACTATCCATGAACTCTTTGTGAATTCCTGTCCCATACACAGAAAGTCACTTGCAAAATCCACCTTATCCACCAACTTATCTATTAATTTATCCTACAAATATTGATTGAGCACTTGTTATGTCCCTGGAGATTCTCCTGTGAAAGTGATCCTTACCCTGTAAAACTTGTGTTATTTTGGTTGGCCATGTAACACTGCTGTAAATAAAACAGTAGGAGTTATATGCTTTTACAATATATACTGTTTCCTCTCAAATATTTTGGGCTTAAAGATTTCCATTATAAGTAGTTAATATTCATTAGCAGCTTGACTAATCTAATCAACTTTAGTGCCAAGTCAGTGAAGTAGCAGAGAGGCTGGCCTAGTTCAGGTTCAGGTCCGGTGTTGGGAGAGTTGCCCGAATCCCCTTCTCACTTGTCATCTGCAGGCAGCGCTTCTACTCACTTCCACTCACTTCTGCTAATTTCTAAGAAACCACAAACCAGTCTTGTTTTCCTATAGGATTTCACCTGCTGGAAGCAACAGACACATGGCCTCCTCGGAACACGAATAAGGGAAACATGAGCAGACGGAGCAAGAGAGGTGCTGCCCCTTGCAAGGCAGATCAGTCCAGAAATCAGTGAATTACGGGGTAACACAGCAGCAGCTTCCTGCATGGTATAACTTGCCTGAATTTCATTTCTGCTGCTGTATCTTTGCAAGCTGGAACATTGTCTTTAGAGAAAACCTACAGCCTAATTTTAGAAAAACTGCAACCTCACCAGTGTTAACAGAGACCAGAGCTATGTTTTAAATTCACTGTACAACACTTTGTTTTGGCATTTCCCAAAGTGAATCTTCATGTTCCACACAAAATATCCCATCAATGAAGCAGCCCCCAAGTTTAGCTTAAAGAATTAAAAAGCACAACAAATTAATGATTAATTCACAGAGGACAAAAAAAAAAATAAGCCTTTAGAATTGGTTGAGTTTCCTGAGCTCAACACTTCACAGCTGTGACTTGCAAAGGGATTTCTAAGTAGCGATAACTTAGTCTCTTCATCTGTAAAATGGCTATGGATGTGACACTATGGGGAGGAAATGAGACAACAAGGGCTGAACACAGAGCTCAGTCCCAGCCCCTAGGATGTTCTCAACACGTTTTCACTTGACTATTCAATTACTGTGTCTCAGCAGGCACAGGCTTCTGTCCTATTCCCACTTCCCACACTAACACGTGTGATTTTAGTGGTTCATTTTACTTTGCAGAGCTTCAGCTCTCAGCTGTGTATCACAGTGCAGCTCTGGCTGTGTTCTGGGATCTCTCCAGGTCTGTCTAATCTCTTGGGGCTCCCAGGAAGGAGGAGGACAAGGGCTAAGCTTGCCTGACCAGAGCAGCAATCTTCCATTTATTTTCTGTCATTGCACTTCTGCATTATATCTCACTTCAACAAAGCTTCTGGGTCCTTCAAAAGAGTTTATAAACTATTGGTGAGATCTAGACTTCTTTCCAGATAGAATATTTTTCTGAGCAGGCACTCATGGCTCATCCTCCCTGCAGATAGATATTGGTTGTAAACCAAGAGATCACACCAAGCACTGCCAGGTTTTTCCTGGGTAGCTGCTCATGTTCCCATGCTCTGTTCCACCTCAGTGCCCTCCTCCTCTCTGCCCTGCTGGAGTTGGATTTGCTCAATCTGTACATTCTTCAGGAAGCTGTCTTTGATCCCAGGCATCATGGAAGCCCATCTCCCCTGCTTGGAATGCCTCTAACCTGTTTTTACCTCTGTCATTTTACTCTTAGAGTCATTTATCTTATTATTTTATATCATCTCCCTGATCATAAGTGCTGGAAACACACAGGCCTGAAGGTGCTTAATAACAGTATTTCAAACCTCCAGGATTATGTAAGCAAGTCACATCTTGGGACACAAGATGACGATGGGGCTCTCAAATTGAATTCACAGCTTCTCTCAGTTTCTGTAGATCTCATGCTGGCCTACAAAGCCCCGTGTGATCCTTGTCTCTACCATACTCTCTTCTCCACTCAGAAGGCTCCAGTCAGTCTGGCTTCCTGTAGTTCCTTGAAAGCCCCCAGCACATTCGCTCTGCAGAGCCTTTATACTTCTTTTGCTGCTCAAATGGCACCTGCAAGCATCCGTGTGAATAGATCCCTTGCTTTCTTCAAGCATCACTGCTTACACTTCTTATCACAAGGGCCTTCCCCAACTCTCTCTACCAGCCCCATCGCCTTTGTCTTGCTTTGGTTTTTCTCACAACATTTATCACCACCTGGCATTTTCTTTCTATTTTTTTTCTTAAATTCTTTTATTGGTACATTTTAGGTACACAATACATTTACATTTATCAATGGGTGCTTGTACCTGTACATGATGTATCTTGGTTCTTCTTTTTTTCCCTATTTCCTGTGCGCCCTTCACCCCCGCCACCTGACATTTTCTATTGCTATTTATCTGGTTATTGGTTGTCTTCTCCAGTTTGAGAGTGACTCCTCAATACCTGTGATGCTGGCTGCTCTGACCCTGACCATTAACCTGCATGCCTCTCACTAGAATTGTGCTCAGCCTAAAGTTCTGAAGTAGGGGCTCAACCAAGAGTCACTGAATGAAAGAATGAATGAATGTCAGTCTGGGTGACACTATGGGGTGCTGTGATGTCTCTCATCACTTGTGTTTGAAACCTTCTGCCTGTAAAGTATGAAACCGTCCACACCCCAAGCATTCTGAGCATTCAGGTGAAGTCTTACCCTGTTATCACAGAAGCAGGAGCAGCAATTTGGATGGAAGTTGCACTGGTGAGTGAGCTGAGAGTGTCTGTATTTACAACAAAGAACTTTACAGTTGGATTCACGGCTCCTGCCTAGGAAAAAGCAATTCCAGAATTGGGATTGACAAAAAACTGTCACTACGTAACTTAAAACCATACCAAAATGTCCACATTATAGCCATAAAATTATTACAACCCAACTGTCTCAAAAATTCAATATAAATAAAATATAAGGGAGAGTCAGGAAATGCAACATTTTCATGTTCAGGCAGAAGCATATGTAAATTTGTGTGTATGTGTGTGTGTGTGTGTGTGTGTAAAACTTGAAGATCCAAAGTATTCCTTATTTAAATAAAAAATGTTTACATGTTCACAACTTATGTACTGTGTGCAAGTGAGGATAAACCTCTGAAAATCACTTCTATCATTTGCAAATATTGCCTGGCTCTGAGGGATAAAAAGTCTTTGGTGCCTGTCACTGTGAAGAACCCCTGGGTTCTCCCAAAGATGCAGTCCACCAGGAAAATTAGTACCTGAGCCAAGAGCCAGGGATGCTAATTGGGTGGTGCTCACTTCCACCCCATGCTCAGGGTCACTGCGTTGCAGCTTTACAGTTAGAATTATGACAGAAGCCTAAAGCCTTTTAAAGTATACACATAGATCTTCTATTGACAGATTAGGTAGAAATAATACGATATTTTTAGTGAGAACATTTTATGGATTTTTTTTTGCCAGTTTTGCTCATCAAAAAATAACATTCCACTAAAAACACATCTCCATATTTAGTCTCAGATCTTTTTCCCTTTAACTTCCTCTCCTTTCTGAAAATGGCAGCTTTTCATAAGGCAAATTAAGTGAGTTGGTAAAAATAAAAATTCCCCTTTTTTCAAATTGCTTACAGCAAAACTACTTCATTAGATTTTCCTATAGATAAGACTGGGGCCATTTGTACAGTACTAGTGAAGAATCCCTGGCTCCCTTCTGAATCCCCTCTTCCCTGGCTTACATTGCTTAACAGAGCTCTTCAATTATAATAAACACACATCCTGGATGGCAGAGAACAGTCTTGAAAACCAAGATGTGACACTATTATTACAAATGTAGGACGTGTAAAGTTTACATTAGTGCCAAATCTATAATAGAACCACTAAAACTAGTCATGTACTGTATCCTGTTAATTAGTAATACAATCTGATATACAACCAAGCGTTTCAACTTCATCTCGGGCACATTCCAACTTCTACAAATGAGATGAGCTTCTGATTCAATTACTTCATTCAAACATTTTCATTGCCCCCCCCCTACCTCTTTCAAAAGCATTTTCACCATCTTTATCTGCTTGTCATTTCTCAAAGTTTTTGGAGAAATTACAAAACCTTAAATCACACTCTTTCCTGGGATAATAAAAATACTTTAAAATTGCCAGATGCTGTTGACTTCAGCAAGAGTAATCACAGCAAGCTGTTGAAGAGAGGCTGACAATATTTTCATTAGCAGGAAGGGATTAAATGCAACCATTCTCTTCCCATCAAATCACAGAACCACTATACAAGCAGGAGCACAGACCTTTGGATATGGAATCTGTACAGTCTTTGGGTACTGCAAGGACTCGTCTGAGTAGAATGAGTATTCAATAAGTGGGACTTCTGTATCATTAAATTGGGCATATGCTAAGAAAGTGCTGTTTGGAGACCACCATAGAGCAGAGTAGGCACTGAAGATTTCCTCTGAAAAAAAGACATAAATTGTTCTGTTACAAGAAGTAGCTGATAAATTGGCTTTGGCATTCAAAATATTGTTCTCATTAGCTTTAGTAATTACAGTAGAGTTCAACTAATGAACCACTTTGCATTTGCTGGGTTTCCAAAATCAGAGTAATACAAATGAATAAAAATAAAATCTTCAAGGATATATCTGGATTGTAAAAATAAGTAACCCATTGGACCATTTTAGAATATTTTAGCATGCAATATTTAATATAAGCACTACATTTTTTTTTATCTTATAATCCTCTAAATTTATGCCTCAAAACATACTAAAAGTAAATTTCACACAGGAGGCTGATTTTCCTTTCTAATTTTCAAACAGTCAACATGCCAGGATACTCTCCCCAACTGGGCTCAGTTTGTACTGAGCCCACAGGGTACTGGTGGGTGGTGTGTAGCTCCAGGCTATCAAACCAATATGGTGCCCGGAGTTCACTACTCTTGGCACAAACATGGTGTGGGAAGGATGGATTTAGAATAGCAAGAGCTCCATGAGACCCTTACTGAGAAACATCTCCTTTACACAGCCGAGAAAAACTGCCTGAGTTTAACACCCTCCTCTGGTGTATATGCTGATGGGTCAGAAAATAGGTTCAAAGAAGGAGGCAAAGGAAAGATCTTGCTTTGCAGTGCATCCTTGGGTTTATAATTAATACCTGACATTGGCAGTTCCTCCCTATGATCATTATGGGGACTATTCATGGGACATTCCATCTCTGGCTCTTACACTGCCTAAATTTCTTTCACCAACTTGGAAGGGAGATTCAAGTAGACTAGGTGAAAATTCTTGTTTAATTTACTAGTCTCATGTGATGATGTGGGGATAAACATAAAAGCAAAAGTACAGAAAATAAAATTTAGGGTTAGGAAATTATCTATCCCAATCAATCTCTTGATGATTATGTCCTCTTTATATGGTGTGTATGTATATGAATACATTTTTGGTGGTAACAATAGCAGCAGCAGTGGTAAAAATAATATCAAGAAAAAATATAGTGATTGTCTCAATGATTAGCTGATATTTCATAAATGTGAACTACGTACCAGGCACTGATAATAACTGACTCTTATTATGTCAGTTATTCCTCACAATAATTTGTTGTACAGATGAGCAAAGTGTAGAGGGCCTAAAGAGGATAAGAAATTTGCCTAGGGTCTCATAGCTTTCATTTGAATCCATACTGTACTGACCCTACTTGCCTCTATTTCAGTACTTCTACTAACATAAAATCTATTACATGTTAAGGCAGCCTACTCCCACTTTGACAGCTTCATACTTATATCATTAACTTACATATATATAATCATTAAAAATTTATAAAACACATCTAATTTATTCTTTATGAAGATCTCTAGGTGAATCTATTCACCAATAGATTGCCAATTTTACAGAGAAGTAAACGGAGATTTTAAGAAATCGAGTGAATTGCCTGAGATGCACTAGAACCCAGGACTTATAAGACTCCAAATCAAAGGCTTCCAGTAAGAACTTCTTCATATTCTATACTGAGTAGATATCTCATAGCTTTTACCCATTGATTCTAGACTATCACACAGTTTCAGTGAAATAAACTTGATACAAGTACAGCTAGGTTTTGGTCTGTACAATTACTCATACATGAGGTAGCCATTAATATTCTGTTTTCAGTTGGTGCTGATTTGAAAGGAGGACTATAGTTTTCCATATTTACCATGCAAAAATTTTCCACTACAGGCTGAAGCCTGCTTTTTTGAAAAAGCCCCATACTGGATCTGTGAAGCTATTTTCCTACATGTAATGGTTTGGTCACTAACATGAAGATGAGACATCACCAGCTATTATCTACCTTAGAGATGACGGCTGTGTGTTGTCCTGTTCTATTGTTAGAGACACCCAGCTGTGCCCGAGGGAGGGACATACTCAGGACAGAGGCTTTACCCACTTGATGTTGATGATCCCAAAGGAGACTCTATGCTCTGCTGTCCAACACAGTGAGTACTGCAGGTAAATTTTATTATAAGTTTTAATAAAACATTTATTTCTGGCCAATGGAAATTTATCTTTCTTGTAACCCTATTTAAGATTTTTTGTAATATTATCCATTAACTGAAATCGACTTGGCCTGGATAAGAAACTAAATCATGAAACAAAACATTTTTTTAATCTATGAAGAATAAATAATAGGGTGAAATCAGGATGAGTCTTTCTAATAAGTATGAAACAACTCATTTTTCCTTGAGTCTAATTATTTTTCTTCTTTCAAAACTGGAAATCAGAATTTGTCCAAGTTCAAGTGCACTCAAGTCCTCTATAAACCAGGCACTTTCTTCTTCTTTACTCTCCAACCTCCAGACAATATTTTAACATCATTTTTAATGTTATGGGAGTTTCTTTCCTTAGAAAATTCTGGGTGAGGGGCCAGGGATGTAGCTCAGTGGTTTCACAGCCTGCTGCACAAGCGCAAGGACCTGAGTTCGATCCCCGGTACCAAAAAAAAAAGAAACTTCTGGGTGAGGTAAATCTAGTTAGAGAAACTGCTGAGGTTAATTTACAGGCTTTTATGCCCTAGTAAAGCCAGCAAAGCTACCTGTACAGAAAGGCCCTTTGTGGTAGTAAACCAAAGACAAACAGAGCATTGTTGAGACAATGAGGACAGAAGCAGCACTTGCTACTCTTAGGAAAATCTTAGTGTGTGAAATACCTGGTGTTGTGAGTTCTTAGAGATTTGAAGACATTAAAAAAATACAACATTAAGTCGAATTGAATTTCTCAATTTTTAAAGAATGTTTAAATATTTTAAACAGCTTTTAGATTTTATGATTTGAAAAAGTTATAGAGTCTCTACCTTCATAAACCCAGTCAGTTATTCCATTAAATATTATATTTTCCTCCCCAGTCCGTGTGATTCTGTAACTTGGTAAATTTGGTTCAATTTTAACATAAATATCATTTTTCCAAATATATGCCTAAAAGATAAAAAACATCAGTATTAATAATGTTATAATACATTTTATTCTGGAATCCTAAAACCGCTTATCTATTTAAGTGTAATGGTCACCATATTTAAAGAGTAAATTTGAACACAAGGAGTCATTTGCTCTCTCCACTCTTAAATTATAAGTACACAGGCTATAGTTCCCAAATAATCTTTATAACATTCTTAATATATTAAGAATAAGAGGGCCAGGGATTTAGCTCAGTGGTACCATGCCTGCCTTGCAAGCACAAGATCCTGAGTTCCATCCCTGGTATGGAAAAAAAAAAAAAAGAATAAGAAGCTTACAACTACCATTATTTGGATGTTAAAGTGTATGCAAAGACCTAGACAGCTGGCCACTTTTCCAGGATGATGTATGCTTGTGTATTTCTTTCTTAAGAGGGAGTGCAGAGGGAGTGCAGCTGCATTCTTGGAAAGAGAAGTTGGACAGTAGATAAACATTCCATCTTTGTATTTAAATTTTTCTGGGCCTCTGAAATTCTACTAGTACCATAGAATGTGAAGATACAATTATAGTGACTCAGAAGGTCTCTAAACTAGCAGAAAGCAGATGCGCCTCAAAAAATATCTAAGTACAACAGACAATTAGAACTTAAAAGTATAACAAGAATTTCTAAGTGAATAACCAATTCTCTGCTAGAAGTCTGGAAACTTTCAGGAATTATATTTGTTATGTTAGGCTAGTGAAATACTGTCTGGGGCAATAACACTGGGCTTTCTAATGAATTAATTAGCTTCCTAAGATGCCTGCTTTGTTTCATCGTCTGCATAAGCAAGATTTAAGCCAATATTTTTGTCACTACAGGAGTGATTTACTAACCAATTTATGACCTTCAGATGACCATGTGATCCACTGTGTATTGTTTGGAATTCCCTCTTCTTTTATCAGCTGCCTGGAAAAAGATAAAAGAAAACATTACTGAAAGAATAACTCATAGTGAGGTATCCTTTGAAAAAAATTATAGTAGAAAAGTCTAATAGATTTTTCAAGGAAAGCACTGACCTTTTATTTAAGTCATAAATATCGTATGAAGCTGTGTAGGAATGCCTCCATTGCTATAAAAGAAAACAGATATTTCAGGTTTCTGTGATACCTGATGGTTTGGTCACTTGCTATAGGACCCCAGGATGGCAGATATGGTAATATATTACTGGCTAACTCTCAGATTTCATCATATATTCCCTCTGTACTCAAAATACGCTCTATTTAGATTCCTAGAACTTGGGGATTTGAAAGTATGCTGGAGATCACCTCATACAAACACCTCTGGACGTCATCTATAGCCTTGCTCTGGGATCACCTCCTTCAAGGAGACTTCCTAGGACCACAGAGGACCGACATGCCATTTTTTTGTGTGCAATGCTATTCCTAGCATTTGGCATAGCATTTTAAGATTGCCTGTCTAGGAAAATAGAAATTTTCACTTTTCACCTATCTTACTTGTAAAATATTTAAAAGATGTATGATTCTATTGTTGGTAGTGATGGAAGAAATGTTTACTTCGAACACTGATGATGAAAATGTCAAATGTTAGATTATTTGAAAGCTACCTAGTAATACATATTAAAATCACCAATTTTTTAAAGAACCATCTCAAGAGGCTGAAAATGAGTGTCAAGTTACTAAACATAAAGTTTGTAGAAGAAAATAAATAGTAAAGTTAAAAACAATGACCAATATAAAACACGTAATAGAGAAAAATCAACAAAGACAAAAATTAGTTCTATAATGAGACAGTATAATTGCTAATATAGTAATAGATGAGGGCAAAGAAATACAAATGCCCAATATCAGAAATGAACAGTGGAACATCACAATAGACTTCACCAGTCTATTGCACCAGACACTAAAGAATACAAGGGATCATGTGAACATTTTTTCCAGTAAATTATAAAATTTGAAAAATGGAAGAATTCCTTGAAAAATAATTTATGAGACAAGAACATCTGAATAGTCTTATATTCCATAACCTTATTGAATCCATAAATAAAAATCTTTAATAAAGAAGAAGCCAAGTCCAAGTAGCTTAATCAGCAAACAAACCCCTTGTTATTTTTCCAAATAAGTTGAAACCTTATGTCCACACATAAACCTACACACAAATGTTTATAGCACCATAAATTATAATTGACAAAACTTGCAAGCAACCAAGAAGTCCTTAAATCGTGCATGACTAGATAAACAGACTGTAGTAGAGCCATACAATAAATTATTATTCAGTGATATAAGAAATAAGTTATCAAGCCACAAAAAGACATGGAAGAACCTCAAAAGCACATTTTTCTAAGTGAAGTAAGCCAATCTGAAAGGCTACATATTGTATTAACCGCTGACTTTCTGGAAGAGGAAAACTATGGAGACCAGTGAAGAGAGCAGTGGTTGCTTGGTGGAAGGGAGGAATGAGTAGGTGGAGCACAAGGGAGTTTCAGCAGTGAAATTACTCCATATGATACTGCAACGGTGGGTGCATGTGATATATTTGGCAAAATCAACAGTCTACCCTAATATAAACTATGGACTTCAGTTAATACCAATGCGTCCATCAATATTCAAGGGCTCATCAGCTGTAATAAATGTATCACACATAATGCAGGATGTTAAAAGGAAAAACTGGGTAGGGGGGATGAAAGAGTATACAGAAAAACATTACTTATGCTCAGTAAACCTAAAGCTGATCTAAAAATATAAAACCTATTAATTAAACAAAATGAATTAGAGCTATGGCTTAAAAGTCCTCTTTCATGTCTTTAGTTGTGCTCTGCCTGCCGAAATGTACTGAGCCATTTAAAATATTTACCTTTCATGGTCATTTTGACTTTGGGGAAGGTTACAAGTCCCACGGTATCAGATCTGGTGAATAAGGTGGATGAGGCCACATCACAATATATTTATGAGTCTGTCTTTGAGTTGAATGGCATTTGGCAACAGCATTCACTGTGTTTTTTTAATCATACTTTGTAAAGACACTCCCTAAGGAGAGCTTCCCAGAACTGCTTCAGTAATGGGCAAGAATGATAGGATAGGTGTGTGCAAAGTAAGAAAGTGTATTTTGAGGGAGATTAATGGCAATATGTCTTTTACAGCAATATATTGTTTTTAAATTAAACATTCACTGTATATTTTGATCTGTCTGTCTGTAGACTTTAGGGATCCAAACAGAAAAGGAAGAGGGAAAGCTAAAGATTAAAAAGTGTGTATATGATCATATTTTTGTATTTATGTCTGTATGTGAATGCACATAAAAATTAAAGATATTTTAAAAGAAATTCCTTGTCTATATGCCTGTATTCCTTATGATACTCTTACAAGAAAGAAATTGTGGCTTTCTCACCATTACATACTTGGAATCTAGTGCAAGCCACACAAAAATTATTCAATATATAAAATGAAACTACAATAAAATTCAAATTTGAGTGATGAGATAGATGAAATGGGCAGCTCAAGGACACCCAGCTATATGACCCCAGAGCTGAGACAGTCAGGTTCCTAATCCTCACTACTTATCACTTATAACCCTCCTCTACTCTTATGTCAACAAATATTTATTAAATTCCCACTTCTTGTAAGTCATACATTCCTTTCCTCAATCTTGGATTATTTTGACACACCCATGCTTGTTTCTGGGCAACCTCCAGCATAATATTTGGTAAAGTGAAAAGGTGTGATATAAGCTAAAAATATTAAGAAGGTCTGAGATCATTTCAGGATAACAAAACCGAAATGAGTTGTAAAAGGAAACCCAAGATGTTTGGAATGATCACTTTCTCTTTTGCAACATCCAGGTATGTAGTTTATAAACACTGGCAGTTTCCATTTATCATGCATTACTCTGCTTGAAGTGCTCCTAGTTGAATGGGAGATGCGAGCAAGTAAACGATAATAAAGGAATCACAATAAGATTTAGTGGTAGGTAAGGAGAGGCAGGCAACATAAATTAGGCCTTGGGGAGAGAGAGAAGCTTATGCAAAGGTGATTCTTGGGCTGAATTTCAGAGTGGAGGACCGCCACACAAAGAACGGGTAAAAGCATATGATAGCAGAGAGAAGTTGAAATGTAAAGTTAAGAAAGATTATGTTTAAGAGCACAAGCTTTGGAAATCTAACTTGGATTCAAGTCTCCACTGTGTAATATCAGGCAAGTTTCTTTCTAAACATTAATATTCTTTTCAGGAAAATGGATATAAAGACATAAACAATCTGAGTTGCCTGAGAATATATGCAAAGTACTTACCAAGGTTCTGAAACACCAACGTGTGATAGAGGATACAACTGTTATTATCTCCAAACCATTAAAGAATGAACAAACATACCCACATTTACAGCAGCACAGTTCATAATAGCTAAATCTTGGAAGCAGCCTATATGTTCATCAACAGATGAATGGAAAAAGAAAATGTAATTATACACAACATGGTACTACTCTGGCATTAAGAAGAATAAACTTGAGTCATTTGTAGGTAAATGGATGCACCTTGAGACTATAGTATTAAGTGAAATAAATGAGACACACGGTATAAATATTACATGGTTTCCCTTATATGACAAATTCAAAATATACATAAAGAACAAAATAAAAAATGGTACAAAATAGGGAGATCAAGTTTTTTGCAGATGGGAAATGAAGCAAGAGATGGTGACAGAGGGGAAGGAGGAGAAGAAAAGGGGAGGAGAAGGAGATGAAAAAAGCATTAAAATGTGTTGTGTACATGTACCAAGTCCCATGAGGAATGTGATCATTATGTACTGCAAACATGCACTAAGAAAAATAAAACTTGAAAAAAATAACTAAAAGAAAAAAAATTTTTTTTAAAAGAATGAGCAGAGATGCTAGGAGAGCATCCATAACAAACTGTATGATACCTGCTCATTTATTCATTCATTCATGTATTAGTAGTTACAATTTAGTGGTAATAATTGATTATTCTGGATGCACTAACTCAGAGAGAAGTTACATGAGGTAGGATCTCAAAGCCAATGGACAGTGAGCTCCAAGCCAGCCTTTTCTTTCTTCTGATACTCTTCTTTTTGAACGTTGGTTAATCAAGGCATTTATGCTGCCCATAAAATTCTACTGGACACTTTCGAAAGTGAAAAAAGAAAAGATAGATCTTCACTTCCAATAATGTTATCATTTAGTGCTTTGTAATGAAACATGTATTCATTTAATAAGCATTTGTTGGGTGTCTGCCATGTGGTCCAGTCTTAGGTTCTGCAGCAGTGACTAAAACACAGGGAAACTGGTACTAAAGGCAGGCAATAAATAAGCAAAGAAATAAATAACAAAACGCCATAAAATGTTATGAAGAAACTAAAGTAAGGTCCTGTGATAGAGAATGATTTGTGGAGTGTGGGCGGGCCACTGTGGGAAGAGCAAGGCTTCCAAAACAGCCTGGACCTGACCTTCTAGAGAAGGAAAGACAGATTATCACAGGGGAGGTCTTAGGAAGAAGCAACAATTCCTCAGCCCTTGGATGAGAATGAGAGTAGTGCTTGAGAAAAGACAGGTTCTCTTAAGTGAGTCAGATCACTGACTCAAGTGAGAGCTCCTGAATCCACTCTGCTGTAGGCACCACATGTAGTTACACTGATGAAGTTACTTTGGAGTAGGATCACAGACATCTGTGCTTTCTAATTCCTTCCCAAGACAGCCTAGGGTGCAAGTAGGGAAGAGAAGTGCTGGCCAATCATGAAGAGCGTGGGACAGAGTGTAGGAGGTGGGGAGGTGGGGTCAGATGGGCAGGCTGAGGTCCAGGGAGACAGGCTCCATAGTTGCCATGTCTAGTGCTGGTGTTTTCTTCTGAAAGTGATGGGGAACCACTGGAAGTTTTGAGCAGAGTTGTGGCTTAATCTAATTTAGGCTTAAAAAGGAGCACTTTGGATCCTTCCTGAAGCATGGATGGTGGGGGAAGAGCACAGAGTGAACAAGGAAAAGCAGTTAAAAGCACAGGTAAACACCAATGACACACCAAATACAGATCACTAATGATGGTTGTCTAAAGCATGTATGAACTATAACTGGTAGTGTGCATCACACAGACTTGTCATACTAGACTAAGTAGCAAATGGAGCTGATATTACCTTTCTACCTTATTTGCTTATGTTAGTCTTTAACAAGAACAGCCATTATTCAATGGTTTTCAATCCCGGTTGCCCATTAAAATATTCTATAGCACTAAAAAAAAAATTCTGGTGCCAGCTTTACCCCAGGAACTTCAATTTATTGATCTAGAGATTGAACCTGGATACTGGGGATTTTTATAAAAGTTCCTTAAGTGAATTTATTTTCTGGAATAAGAAGCACTCAATTACACAAATGAACCTATTGAGAACAGTTATGTTCAAGTTGGCACAGGATTCTGATCTGCTTCTAATTGATGGGTTTAGCAAGAATAAAAAGTCTTCATATTCAGGAAATGGAGCCCAACACAGGGATCCAGGATAAATATTATGATTGAAAGTCGCCATCCTGAGATGGTAAATGGAGCAGGGAATGCTTTGTTTGGCCTGACTAGAGCAGCACTGGTATGTGAGATAAGGCCACTTAGTATTATTTATCCCAGAAAAAGAAAACTCAGGGTTAGGAACCCCCAGCTTTGTGTTTTATTTTCAATACAGAGTATCTCACCAGGCTTTCAGACTTTTCTGCATCTCTTAAAGTATCCTATACTAGATAAATGTAGTCAACTCCATGATAGCCAGAAAACTGCAGTTCAGTGGCATCCGTCAAAACAGGGAAGGGCCAGGGATATAGCTCAGTGGCACCACGCCTGCCTTGCAAGTGCAAGGTCCTGAGTTCAATCGCTGGTACAAAAAAAAAAAAAAAAAAAACCAGGGAAGATACTCAACTCATTGGGGCCCTTTCCCGATGATGTGAGGATCCCCTGTTGGGCGAGTGGTAGTCAGGAGGCCGAGTGCTCTTTGCAGGACCTTTGTGACTGGAGCTGAGGGTCCCCTAAAAATGACTTGTATATGCAGTAAAGGTTGGGAGGTTGTCTAGGTCATCTTACAGAGTCATCCAGAGGACAGGAGGGTTAACTTTTAATGCAAATACTTACTGAAGGTCTTACCCTACATAAAGCTGAGACAAAGGAAATAAGAAGTTATATCCCCAGTTGTAAAAGCCAGACATGTACATTTATGTTAACTGTATAAGATAAATTCCTATTATAAATTTTATTAGCTTATATTAGCAACTTATGCTATATTGTTATTATAAATTATGAGGTTTTTAACATTAAAATAATTTTCTTTTAAAACACTGGTTAGATTCGTCTTTTATAAGAATGATTTTCGATGCTGAATTAATGAGTTTTTAGTGCCAATTATGTTACTTAGGTATCAATATTATATATATACATACACTTGAAATTCATTACAAAATAGCATATTCATAGGATTTTTTAAATGTCACTAAGGAAGCATTTCTTTTACCTTCACATAGTTGGATTCTAAGAGAATGAAGAGTCCATCAGGAGACACTGAATAATCACTGACAGAATTTCCCAAGGCTTCCTGTGGATCAAAAGAAGAAAGAAAAAGTAACCAATGTAATGTCACTGAGTACTTACCAAGCAGAGGGCACTCTTTTAGACACATCGCTTGGGGAGCACATACTCTAGGTGTCACC